AGACACGGTAGACGAAAGTACAGAAGATGGTAGCAATGCGTAGCATGGGGTAGCATGGGTCGTATGGTATATACAAGAGAGGAGCTAGATATAATATATTTCGCCGAAAGCAAATGGAGCCTCTACCTAGTATAGTAGAGTAGGGTAGGGTAGGTGGTATACGATGTTCTGGCATGCGTGAACACGATAGGCGAGAGCGGCATACCGGAAGGGTTGGATGACCTTCTCAAGGTCTATTTATGCCAGGTAAAGGGGTGAGGGGTGACCGACGAGAGAGCTACGCAGGAAAAAGGAGAGACGACCGGCTCTGGGGGAAACCAGAGAGAAAAAGAGGGAATTCATGTTCTCTTTTCGTCTGAGAGCACGTGGCCCATGACGTCATATCGAACGATTCTCATGGGGGCGGAGCCTCCGTTTCTCACCCCTTCTGAGGCTTGAATTTTGGCGAAGAACTAACTTTCGCGATTCACTGAACCTCTCTAGCTCACAAGCCTAAATCCATACATATCCTCTCCAATAAGCGATAGCTCGTCGATGATCCGAAATGTGAAAATTCGTTCCCGTCTGGAGATAAACGGGGCATCGCAAGTGAACCGTTATAATTTGACGGGAGCGGCAATGGTCTCGTACGCGCGCGTACTACGGTTCTCGGTTTTGGATCTGTGCCGGCTTGTGGTGGCACGACTGTGAATCGCTCTCTCGCTACGACCATCGTATAACATCATTTCGCCTTCCGTCTTCCAGTCAGTCACTTGCGATCATCGAACCATCATGTGGATATTCTTCCTCGTGTTCGCCTCCTCCGCTTTCCTCCAAACTGCACAAGGTGAGCACGGAACGTTGCACTTAAGTTTCGGTTACGTTAGCTAATGCATAATGCAACTGGATGTCGTTTCTGGTCTTAGGGCAATGTTCGTCGAATCTATTCGAATGCATATCCGATGGGGTGTGCATCCCCAAATCCTGGATCTGCGATGGTGCCAGCGACTGCAAGGATGGATCAGATGAAGACAGGATTCTGTGCGAAGGCAGAGGTCAGTCACTAAACAGAGCCACTACTTAGTTTTCGTGTGAGGACATAGTCATCAGACAGGTAGGCCTAATTACTTCTTAGCCTTTAAATCTTTCACTTCTTTAAGTCAATCACTCTTCTCTGGAGGTCAGGAACTTGACACTTGGCCCACTTCTGTTGCTTCTCGTAGTGAAAACGATTCAATTTCAGTTTAAGTGGGGCTGGGACTAAATTTATTTCACCCACTTCCTGATACTTCGTTTCAAATACAAGTGTTCTCTTCGTGCCCTCCTTTTTCAAGGAGTCACCTGTTTGAAACTTGGAGAGGGCGCTAAAACAATTTGAACGTGATTAGAAACAACATATTGTAATAAGTTATCGCCTGTGTCACAGCTATCTATAAATTACTAATCTTGGTACGAAGTATGACATTGCCATATAAATATATATTTATTCGATTTTGCCTCAGTTGATTTTGAGAGCGTCATACGTGTAGAGGAGGATATCCGCAAAGTCTTCCGATCCAGTCAGGGGGCCTGACTCATTCATTCATTCATTCATTCATTCCGGGTATCTTGCGTGTCTGTTCCCTCGTGCGCCAAGGAACGGAATTGGGATCGATTGGGAGTGGGAAGGAGCTTGCCAAGGATTTCTCTATCTGTTTTCCCCTTTATCGATCCATCGACTTTCTGCGCAGTTCTGTTTTCTTTTTAAAACTTCGTGTCCTTGAGCGTGCCTGCTTTAAACCCATCTGTTTTCCGTCATCAGACGCCTACTTCAGGGTCAGGAATTATTATATCGGTCTTCCCGAACATAATAACTCCTCGTGAGCCGTAGCTCGCATTTCATTACTCAAATTTACCCTTTTTTTAGAGGAAAGGGTTCAACGTTCGCAGTCTCCCCTCGTGAATGTCCCCCTCAATCTCCAGTCAAGGACGCCGATTTTTTCTTTTACTCATCGTCTCGCCAGACGTTGAGGTGGATTTCAAAGTCACCTTGCGGGAGCCATTGCCTCATCGTAAACCTTGACACCCTACAAGGAAAGAAGAGTACTCGTAGGTCTGGAAAACTCGACCAGGAAGGCGGCGTCCTTCGACGTGTTTATTCTCTTAACGTAATCGGAGACCGTTATAAATGCCGCGTGCGGGCCATCATTGTCTAAACTTGAATGAAGGCCCCGCTGTAACTTATCAATTTTATGACGTGGATACTGCAGGATATAGTAGGCGTGAGATTCGCCTCACTTCCTGGTCCCTGCGTAAGCAGGAGTGTCACGCCATCGAATAATCCGGGGAATTCTGACTTGCGTCAGCGAGAGTGGGGTGAAGGAATGGCGCGAGGACGAGGTAGCTTCTGATTGGTGCATCCGGGTGGCGTGTTCCTAGCTCCACCAATTCGGAGCGAGGAAGACGAGACACGTGGCCGGCTTGCACATGCTCGCTCTCCAGCCACATCCGATGGTCCCAATCTCAAGGTCAGGAGGGTGAATGGGAGTGAATGAATGAAGCTATTATCCTCCTTTGACCGTTAGGACATCCTGGAAACGAAGCTATTTTCAAAATCCTTGCAACTCCCTTTACTTAAAGAAAGTGAATTCGCTCTTTCTTTGCGTATCCAGGGAAGATTCACATTTTTCTCACCTGGGAATATTCTGTTGAAGATAGGTATTGAAATGAAAGGTTCGATACAGATGTGCTTCCGGTTCCCTCTTTTTCCTTTCTTGACTCATGGACGAAAAAAAGTCACGAGACCAGCATTCCGTCCTGGATAGGATTTATTTCTGGCTCCCCTCCCTCATCTCTAACGACTCGCACTCACTATTCCTTCCATCGATCCTTCATTCTTGTGCGCATCTCTCGAACTGCGTCACACAATCCTTTCTATGTCATTCATCTATTTTGGGTCTTATGACGTCAGTAGACACACCCCCGTCTGGCAAGGCTTCCTTTATGTGTAGCTATACTCGCATTCCCATCATCCCTTTCAGCACTTGATCTCAAATTGCTCCGATTGGAATTTGATGCTAAGCTGCCCGGATTGTTTCTGGAAAAAAAAGTTTATATCGTGGCAAGCATTTTGAAATTTTCGTTCGAATCTTGAAACCTCGTCTTGGCGAGATAAAAGGGGTTGACGGATCAAGAACTCTCCGACCAAAGCAGTCCATGTGTTTTATGAAAAACTAAAAGAGATTCCAGCATTCAGGCTCAAGTCCCACAGTGAAATCTCGTAAGACTTCACTCGAAGTTCCAAATTTCCGATTGTTTCTCTTCATATGCAAATCGCGAATTTAGTGCTCACGGTTAATGCATAGATGTGTTCTTTTCGAAAAACTTCGTGCTGCGCAGCTGTAAGAGGGTTAAGTTCTAGTTCTTAATGAGTTTCACTTTCATGGTCTTCTGTTGAGGGTCATTGAAGGAGCTGCTGGAAAAGTAATTGCAGCAATTACTTTTGGCGATTGAGGAAAAGAAAAGTTGCTGTGACGCGGTCAGATGAAGCTGAATTGATCAGAGGTGGTTGTGGACTTGATCATTCGTGGACATGATGACATGCACTTTGCGATGTGAAAATTTGTATTACGTCTTGGCAGGACTCCCTCCTTCGTAAATGTAATCGTTTCCCGAGCAAACGTGACTCAGTTTTTTTTCTTTCCTTATCATTTTTAACTCGTCATGTCTGCTGAGGCGTCCAATCAGGCTTCTCATGTTAAGTCAGGGACATTTTTAATGTGGAAGAAACACTGCATAAAGGCTAATTTTGTTAAAAAGAAAGGGATTTCAAGAGTGGAATGCATGCAACTCATGGATTATAATTTGGAATTGATCATTGCAATGGGAAGGGAAAATCTGTGATTAACATATTTCGTTTACATTTTTTTGCATTTCACCTTAATTCATAGGAAATGGTTTGTCGGCGTAGGTTTCTATATTGATTCCTTGATATGACACCAGCTGCACTCTCAATATTTCATGAATCTTGTCTCCAGGGAGTCATCGTCAACCCATAATGAAACACCGTGAAATCGTAGAGGAAAATCATTGCTTCTGGCACGTGAAAAATAATTTTTGCATATATTTTTCTGCATTTGAGCGGTACAGATGTGGACTTGTCCTTGTGCAGTTAATTTATGACTGACGGAGAGGAAAGAGTTGAAGACAGGCGTGTGAGATAGACTGACGTGAGATGTTTGGTAATCCCATACGAGAACCAGAGTAGGTCTCTGAACTCCTTGGGATTATGCCTCATGTCTATGATGTTGCTAAGGGGAAAGAGGCACACAGCCTCGCATGAATCTGTCAGCGGAACGGAGCAGGTTTATCACGCGCCCGATTCGTGTTATCTTCGATTTTTTCTGCTGACCCTTTCGTCGAGGAGACTTATTTTTGTTCTGTTTTGTTTTCAAACCGTCAGCAAAAAAAATGTATATACCGCAGTGTCATTCCGCAGTTTCTGGATCACAGTCCAACCAACCGACTAGAGAAGATGCTCATTCTTCCTGCAAGGAATTGATTCATTCGTTATGAGTTTCTCGCTAGAGTGCTTGCCTTTCTCTTGGCACATTCCATCGATTGCGTAGTAGAGCTAGGAATCCTCTCCTCCCCCTCTTTCACATCCTTTCTTTTGGGCCTTCAGTCAGTTCAGATGCTATCAATCAGCATAGATAATCAATAGTGAGACCGGTAAGATATCTAACCAAGGAGCACAAGAATGGAAGGGTCACCTTGATGATGAAATGACACGATTTCCACTCCTCCCTCTCTTTGATTCAACATGACCGACATCCACTCGTTGGTGAGCCAATCGTGCCGGATTTCCTTGGTGATACGAGACTTACGAAAAGCATTCTCATTCCGGAATCTACTAGGGCCTTGCGCTTCTTCCACTGGAAATTATTTTTTTTTTTGCAAAGCTTGGACCTTTTCAATTGGGAGCACGTTTCGTAGTTTTGAACTTCTATCTAGTTTCTTGAAAATATTAAATTTTAAGCGAATATTGTTCTTCATCCAGCGAGCTATGTATTTGCAACTTTTTTTTTCCCAGCTGAGTTTGGTTGATTTTCACTCGACTCCCAAAACCCACATATGGGAAGAACCATACACATATGTCAAAGTTGTCTGACAGTGTCGAAGTCGAGGGTAGGAATGGTAGGAATTATTCTCCTGCGAAGTTCACGTTGCATTAATTTCGGCAGTTCTGGGCTAAGTGTGAGGCAATCAATTTATTGGTTTACGTTGAAAGTAAATTTGACCGTGCTGGTACTCGAGAAAAGCAAAGAAGTTCCGTTTACTGGGTATTATGTAATGATAGAATGATGCCCTTCGTACGTATTGGACTCGTTACTACGCGTATGTGCTGCTATTTGGCTACGTGGGGTGTAGCCATTTTGAAATGACGTAAATGTTGTTAGCCTATTGAGAAGAACCCTAAATTGTTTGCTTGACTCAGCATTCATTTGGACGAGAGTGGAAATACGCCTACTGAACTCACTCCAGAAGTCGGCATCTAATGTACAGGGTGGCCCATGAAAATTGAATGCTTATTGCTTACGACCTCGACACGTGGTATCCAAATGGGTGTTATCGCCTCTTGATACATCTAAACTACCTTGATACCTTTATGCAAAAATATGTAATATTTCACACAAAAAAACTGAGCTCCTTGTAAAAAAAAGAAAAAAGCATTGGAGTTAGAGGGCAACGAACTACTAGTTTGCTCTTTGGTGAGTGTCTAAGTCTATGTACCATTTCAACAAGCTAATACGGCCATCAACATGATCTTAAAAAACAAGCAAGAGTAATATCATGTAACAAACTAAAAATTAATGCAGCAGAAAATATTTCGGTAAACTTATTTATGGGACACCCTGTATATAAATGATCGTGACTGACTGAGTAAATGATGGTAACCTTGTTCTAGATGAGGTAGAAAACTGAAACTTGGTGCACAAGTAACTATTGAGTTGCTGAATTCAGAAAAAATAAATCCTCCTTTTGAGGTACGTCCCCTCAGAAAATTTCTTGGGTGGGACGTTTTTTCTAACGACATTTTTGCTTCAGCGAAACGGGCAAATATCAAAAGCTAAAACTGTGTGAGCCTGTAGTTCGTAGGTACTGATTTCAGGAACAATTTTGAGGTACATCCCTTTTGGGGGAGACACATTTCCAGAAAATGTTTCACCCCCACGAAATTGAGGCATAGAAATCTTAAACTTGGTATATAGGTAGGTACTTGTTGAGGTGCAGATTTCAGGAAAAGTCATACTAGCATACATTCCTTGGGGGCATACGTTTTGGGGAGACATTTTCCCCTCCAGAATTTTTTTTTCTAGTGAAACAGGCAGACATAAGCTGATATTCCACAAATACGTATAGAAAAGTTGATATCAAGAAAAAAATCTAACTTAGAAAGTCCTCTACTTTCCTACTTTATCTTACTTCAGTCCATCCCCTCCGGGGAAGAAAATTTTACCAATACGTTTTTTCGCTCCAGCGAATCGGCACCTGTAGAACGCTGAAAATGGTACAGAAGTATCTGTTTGGAAACATTCTACTTTTTGGTACATATCTGGGCTTTTTTTTTGTTGGCCTGTTCGTCCGATTTTTATTTTTGAAGTGGGGGAATGGGTAACTAAACAATTTTTTGCTCGATGAAAACGATTCTTGTAGTTCTTGTAGTTGTGGATTGGATGAAGGGATAAATTCCAATGGGATCTCTCAAGCGGAAACTAAGAATCTGTTTAATGTATCGTACATCAGGGCCGCAATGACATCACACATCCAAAAGTAACGATGAAAAAATACCTATAACCCAAGGAGTTTTACCCCGTTAGTAGGTGTGAGCGTCGAAAACGGATGCTTCAAATGAGTTCGGCGCGACCATTGCGAGTTTAACATATCCCGTGCGCTTCCAATGCGTATTTTTGTCCTTACTCTGAGCTCTTTGCTCATGAATGCTTATATTTGCTATAACTGTATAGTCAGGTCAATTTATAACAGACATGATCCAAGACCGTTAGTTGCCAGGAATAAATATTTTTTCTTTGTTTCTAGTGGAGAAATGCAACACAACCAAGTCATTCCAGTGTCACGATCAGGCTTGCATTCCTGAACGTTGGGTTTGTGACGGGGAAATGGATTGCAGCCAGGGTGAAGATGAAGATCCCGCATTTTGTGGTGAGTATTGGCGTCATCTCAATCGTTTACCTGTATAGTAATTAGGAATTCTGGTCATTCTGTGTCAATTGCAAAATTATGCCTTTGCTCAAGAATGAAGATATTCTTGTGAATAAAATAAAAGCTCATTTTTAATGAGAGTATTCAAATGTAGTTGTTTAACTATCCTGCCTCTATGACTGCGTTATTATGCAAGAGATGAAGGTGAAAAGAATTTGTATTATGAATTATTACCTTACCAGAAGACACAAGACTGTTGGTATTTGACCCTAACTATATAAGAAGGCTCTTTGCGCATGTATAATGATAAAGGTTGATCTCTGATTTTTTGTGGCTGATTTAGATTTTCTTGCTGTCCCTATGCTCATGTTAGGCTTCATAGGGTTCCTTTCCTTTTGGTCTCACTAGCCCTTTCACTGCGACTTTTTTTTGCACATTCCTGTGCTGAGTTTTTTTGCTTTTAGTGCACCATGGTGTGCTCTTCTAATGTTCCTGCACTTACCTTATTTAAATGTATTGCTGGACTGGTGCAGATTGTCCTGAAAAATCTTAGGTATATATGCCCCAAGATAAGACACTTTTGCAATCAAGTCATCAGTGAAAGGGTTAAGAGATTGGAGTTTGCTCCTGTGGTCTGACAATAAAGTTAGTACATGTGCCATAGTCCCATATGCAACTTTGGAGTGCTCTCTTACTGACTCAATAAAATGCAAGATTTTTTTAAAGGATGACCTTGCAGGACTGAAATTAACCTCTGTAGCTGGTATTAGCTGAGTCATCAAAGCATGAGTTCTCTTAGAAATGCTCATTTGCTCAGTCAGGCATTGTTTTAGATTTTTGTCTTTTGTCATGCAGACTTGTGTGAGGCTTTGAATATTGAGTATTCTTTAGTGTAGAGACATTGGTTGGAGTTTCAGCATTTTTTATCCCTATGTAATTCATCATATAAGAACTTTATGTAGGGCAGGTAATGACTTGTAATTATATGACCTCGACGTACTCTGACTGTGACATATATTCAGGAACATGGTTCAGCCTAATGTGGAAGGCTTTAGGAGCACTACTTCTACAACTGTAGTGAAAAAAGGAAGTACAGGCATTCACTTGTTTTATTTCCTTTATTGTTAATTTTAGTACATGGGTTATGAAGAGAAAATCACTTTTCAAAAGAATTACTGGTCTGGTCTCTCTTTACGAACTTCCACTTTGCATTCCCTGTGAGTCCTTTTAAAATGCAGTTTTTTTTGTTTTGTCCTGAGTATGTTACGATACCAAGGAAGCTATAGATACAGAATTTACCTGTAGCAAAGAGAGAAGGATATTGAAAGATGGAACATGATTGTATTGAAGCTGTGAAGGAGTGTGGGACAGGGAAATTTGAATGCCCGTCCAATCGCAGTCGTTGCATCTGGGATACATGGCTGTGTGACAATGATCCTGATTGTCCTGATGGGGAAGATGAGCTCCACTGTATGAGTAAGTGCACCTTACCCTCTGAGGAGGTGTAAGAATTTGGCATGCTTCCAAAAAGAAATTACAAGCCGTGGGGGGGGGGGGGAAGGAAAACGCATGCCCCCATCATGGTCCTGGGACTTGTCGCTCATGTTCTCCAGCAGTCAACATGACTTACATTATAACACCCAGTGAAGTCCATGTACTTCAGATATCAAGTACTGGTTTGCAGTAAGATTTTATTCCATCCTAATCTGGAGTTTTTCTGATTTTTATTTCAGACCTTTGTCTGAAAAGAATGCAATGAAAATTTGAGTATTTGTACAGTCAACCCTCAATATGTAACCACTGTTGGTTGTTACTGATTTTGGTGCTAAAGTGCAGGTTGTGCTCCATCAAATGAACCACAGTATGCTAGTGGCTTCAATACTGAAATCTCTGAAGGAAAAATTAACTAAATGGATGTGAAGCTTATATTCTCATCCTTAGCCCCCTTCAATGCTCTACACTTGTCCCATGCATGGTTATTCCTTGGCTATGAGTCTCCTTTAACAGGGACAGCAAGTATTTAACCAAGCTCAGTACCGGATAAGTGTTGTAGTGCAAATGGTACTTCATGCAATATCAAATAGTATTTACACGAGGAAAAGCATGTTTGTGCATTTGATGGTTTTGGTGGATGGCAGATGTTGGCTAGCATGGGTGGTACTATAACAATAATCACTTAGTATGAGCTTATGGGGAGGATTTGTTCTCAGGAAAGAGTTCGCAATATGCAAGAGTGGCAGTATATTGAGGGTTGACTGTACTTTTGCTCTTGGGACTTGAGAGTATTGAAGTTCTGGTTCTAAGGCTGAAGTAATTGGACAACACTGACCAATGTACAGGATACTAAATTCCAATTACTAATTTGCCAACTCACAGGTTTCTGTTTGTTTGGTCTTTTCCCCCCTTGTTCATCTGTGGATTGCAGCGACCCGGCCTTGTGAGCCCAATTTCGTGGAGTGTGTGGGCGAGCGTGGGCACTGTGTCCACCATGATTGGCTGTGCGATGGTTTGCCTGACTGCAAGGATGCCTCGGATGAAATGGATTGCAGTAGTAAGGCTTTGAATGCATGGCTTCTTCTCACCTCTCCCAATGCCAATTTTTTGTTGTTGTTGTATCCTTTATTCCTTCCCTCATACCTTTGATTCCATTGTCATCCTTCCATACCTCCCTTGCTGTATGAACCTTAATTCATGACATTAAAGGAAATGGAAAAAATACTGCAGTACTACAAGATTAGCTATGAAATGGTAATATAATTTGTTTTATATTTACAGAAAATGCTCATGCTACATGAAAATGCTTATGCTACATGTTAATATCTCCATGTTTCATGGAGATATGAACATGCCATTGTCTAAACCTGTCTTATGAAGTAAATATAGAACATCAGGATTAGTTTAATTGATATTAGCAGATGTCTTGAATGATACAAATTCAGGCAAGTTTCATGTCATGAGTTTGAATGCCAGGGGTTTACTAACAATTGGGAAGATATTTTCATGGATTGATGGATCTCATTCTATGCATGCTTATGGGAACTAATTTTTTTTTTCAGCTACTCTTTTGTTTTCTTCATATGAAAAGAGTATAATTTCTAAAGCCTAATGTAGTACATAATGCCATAATGCAATGTACTAATCTTACCATGCTATGCAGACTTGGTAAATGTAAGTATTTTTTATTTCTTACTGCAGTTGATTGCTTTTCAACAAGCATGGTGACATGACTCGGCAAAAAGTGTGTAAATGCAAATTATAGGGTTCAACCTGATATGTTGTTTCATTTTGGTTAAACAGATCGGACATGTAAGGATACAGAATTCCAATGTGGAAGTGGAGAGTGCATTGTATCAAGTTGGCGATGTGATGGGGATGCTGACTGCAATGACCTGAGTGATGAATCCAACTGTCCTAAGAGCACCTGCAGTTCCCTCACTGAATTCACTTGTGGTGATGGACACTGCATTGACATCAAGTGGCGATGTGATGGCTCTTTTGATTGCACTGATGACTCAGATGAAAAAGTGAGTATCTTTTTAGCATTTCTTGGAATCAATGATATTCAGTGGAAGTCTATTACATGGGAGGGAATAAATAGCCCTTCCTTTACTGAGCACCAGACCACTATTTTATTTGTGAAGAGACTTGAACTACTTCTGTTTCAGATGTTAACTATGTAAAGGTTATAAATTACTGAGACCATATTTGGTATACCTGTGTGTGAGGTGAGTAGGAAATGTTGAGTTGCCTCCCAAGAAATATGTTTGATGAAATTTGTGAAACTATGTCACTTTGCCAGGAAAGGTTTATGATAATGAGATGGAATATGGGCTTCCATGAAAGCTGCAAGAAATCATAAGTGAAATGACAGGTAAAGATGAAAGAGATTTGTAGGAGTTATTTGGACACCAGTGATCCATGGACATGTTTTAGAGCAGACCTACTTCTGAATTTGTGGGAAGGGATGGTAACTTCCTCTTAACTGCACTGCATATGATAAATTGGTTTATGTATTTGAATTTGTTTCCAGGATTGCCCAAAGCAGAATGTGACAACACTACCTTGCAATGAGCATGAATGGACCTGTGCAGATGGCCACAACTGCATCCATCAGTCATGGAAATGTGATGGGGACACAGACTGCCCAGATGGGTCTGACGAAGGAGTGAATGAGTGTGGTCAGTCAACATGCAGACCTGATCAATTCCAATGCACTAGCCGGCAGTGCATACCTTCACATCTCACCTGCAATGGTCTCAAGGAATGTGACGATGGAAGTGATGAAGTGGGCTGTGGTGAGTCCTAATGTATTTTTTTTTAGCTAGACTTTGAAGAAAAAGATTCTTATTCTTCCACTCTTTCATTCTCCCTTCATTTTCCATATGCATTGATAGACAGCCTAAAGATAAAAGCACAATGCCTTTTCTTTTATGGCTGCTACTACATGTTAGTAGCATTCACTGCAGACCACTATCAGCAAGTAATATTTTTTTAGGACAGCTTCAGGTTGAGTGAACTTGGTTGCAAGAGAACTGCAAGGGGTGATCAATAAGTTGTGATTATTTTATATTTTCCAATATAAAGGAACATATGAACTTCATACACTCATATCCCATCAAAATACTCTCTCTCATGATTCACTCTGCTGCATCAGACACTTATTGAAGGACTTGTGTTACTTAGATTGAGATCTTGGTTCCTCTGGCAGAGGTCTGAATATGCAAAAAACTCCCTTCCAAGAAACAAGCCTCCTTTTTGAACTGGAAGTAACCAAACAAAAACCATGCCTTGAATACCATGCAACAAATACAAATTTTTTTCACAAGGCAGGTTGTCTCAAATCAGAGCTTAGTAGAAAAGTTTTTTTTTTTTCCATTTTCAGAACTTTCATTGAGGAATGAATTCAGAATTTCTCAGTTGAGAAATAGAGTTCATAGCTGTTGTTAGAGTGGAAAATGGAGAAAATGGCAACAACTTTTTGAGCACTTCTTGAAATCCAAGTTCATTTTTGCTTTGTGTGGCTTAAAGAAGGGGAATTATTTATAGTTTAATTTAATTTTGATTTTTTGACAAACTTCAGGTACAGGAAATTGATGAGCCTTTGTGGTTTTTGACCAATGTAATATGTGTAAGAGGCTGGATGCAAACACATCTGCTATATGATCCTTTGTTTCATTTTGATAGAGACTACAAAATCTCCATGTCCACCAGGAGAGTTCAGTTGTGGGAACCTTCAGTGCATCCCAGTGACCAAGGTGTGTGATGGACTTCATGATTGTGATAATGGAGCTGATGAGCCCTTGAGAGGATGTACATCCAATGAATGTGAGATGGACAATGGGGGCTGTTCACACATCTGTAATAATACCCTGGTGGGGAGGGAATGTTCCTGCCCTCCTGGGTACTCCCTCATCAATACTACTCACTGTGAAGGTACCAGTTTATGATTCCATTCTGTCGTTTTCTTTAGGCTTCATAATACTTTTCCATACCTTGCCTCTCCAGTTATGATTCCCAGGATCCTGGAAAACCTAGAAAACTCGCAGAAATAGATATGAATCCAAAAATCAGGAAAATCATTCCTATTTAATAAAAGTTAAGAAATAGACTACAGTGTCTGTCCCTTGCAAAGGAAGTGTACAGTGGAGGCAATAGACAATCATAGGGAGGAAGGTTGATCCCTTTTGCAAAAAAAAAGCATAATTTTGATCAGGGAAATTTTCCTCAGCAAGACCAAACTCTTGCTTCCCTCTCATAGGGACCAGTGTGCTTTTGATCTATTCAAGTCATTCATCCATTCCTAATTCCTGGTTTATTCTCGGAAATTGTCACTGACACTGCAATTAAATTTCTTGTGTTTTGAATGTGAGCTAAACTTTCACTGTTTCACTCTGAATGTGGAAGACATTATGACTGGAATGCATTTCAAGTAATAATACGAAAAGTCCATATTGTGGAACCTCTGTTACACTCCTCATCATGCATTCCTTTTGCAAAACCATTGAACCTTCATGTAACTATAATTTTTAAAATTCCTGCAAAAAAGAAAACTGCTGCTGAAATGCAAACATTGATTCATACACTTATTGCTTTCTGCTATATTCATCAAGAGCAAACTGTAAAGCATTATCTGGAAACATATCTTTGTTTCTGTGCAGATGTTGATGAATGCAAAGTCCCAGGAATTTGCTCTCAAGTGTGCATGAATCTCCCTGGCCGATTCAAGTGTGAATGCTTTGAAGGCTATGGGAAAGACCACCATGACCTTACCCGGTGCAAAGCCCTCATTGGCAATGCATCCCTCCTCTTAGCCCATCAGAGAGACATCAGAAAAATCATGCTCCACAATTTTGACATGATGCCCGTGGTGAATGGAACGCGTAGTGCCATTGGCTTAGACTATGACTACCATAAGGGATTGGTCTTTTGGAGTGATTCATCTGATATGCGCATCTACAAGGCAGATCTTGAGACTGGTAGAAACATATCAGTGGTGATCCGAGAGGACATCAGCAATTGTGATGGGGTTGCTGTTGATTGGATCTATTCCCATATATACTGGTCTGATGTACAGCATAATGCAATTGAGGTGGCAGATTTTGAGGGGCTGCACAGACGCATTCTCATTCAAGACCGGTTGGACAAGCCTAGATCAATTGCTCTCGATCCTCTCAATGGGTCTGGCTCTTCCTTTCATCATTTTTATAGTCCTATTTTGCTTAAGTATCAAAAAATGCCTATTACTTCAACACTTTTTAAATGTGCAAGTCATTGAAAACCATAACTTGTCAACTTTTTCAGCAAATAAGAAAAATTAAAGTAGCATTTGTAGAAGGGTTTAACAATAATAGATTAATTTATTGAATAAAAATTTCACTTTTTTTTTTAAGTTCTCTGTTATATCTCCCATCCTTTTAGTCCTTGCTCGATAAAGTTCTATCAAGTCCACTGTCTTATGGGGCTCATTGGTTTTCCTGATTTTGTGAAGAAAAAATAATTTACATTCATTATATTGTCATCGTTGAGTTTATATTGAAATAGCACTCAATACATTCGAAGAATTTGTAAACTTTCATTGGCATTCATTTCATATTAAAAGTTATGAATTTTCAACATATGCTTGACTTAGTCACTGTTGTACCTAAAAGGCAATGCAGCATATTTGTGTTGGGGTCAGAAAAGGCATGGTATCTGTTGCCCAGGTCTCCTGTTGCCTACACAAAACAGACACTGTGCCTTGTCTGTAAAGGATAGATCCTGAAGTATTCATAGACAGTGCACTTTATAGAGTTAATTAAAATTCTTGATTCCATGGACAGCATTTCATGCATCACCCAATTCTCTTGTTAGAGAAATTATACATTGGAAACTTGAAAGTACAGGTTCTTGTGTTTCCTGCTGTTGCAAGTGTTCAAGCCTCTATCTGATGTGAGAGGACAGTAATGAAGTTAATGAATGGTTAGCCTGTACATGGGATGCTGGTGGAATGTTACAGGTGGATGTACTGGTCGGACTGGGGAGTGAAGCCCCAGATTGAACGAGCATGGATGGATGGCACCCACCGAACTCCTTTGGTCACAGCACGTATAGCGTGGCCCAACGGCATCACTATTGACTTTGTTACACGCCGACTCTTTTGGATTGACGGGAAGCTCAATACTGTGTCATCTGTGAACTTGGATGGATCTGATCGACAGTTAGTGACAAGAGAATCACTTTCACAATCAATCAGAAATAGAGAGGTCATCTTTTAAGCATAGGCTTTTGCATGGAGAGGTAATGGGGATATGTGGGTTATTTATGGGGAATCAATTCATTTTCATACAAGGATTGAACCTGTACTGGCAAAATTTCTTTATCATCACATATCTACCACCACAAATGTTTCTTCATATTTCAGGACTGTAGTACAGAGCAATGACATCATGCAGCACCCATTCTCCATCACTGTCTTTGAAGATCATCTCTATTGGAGCGATTGGAATCTCAAGACCATCTTTAAAGCTAACAAATTCAATGGATCTGATGCTCACCCCATTCGTCCCTACCAGACTGTATGGAAGACGGTTCTTTGTGTACTCATATGTTCCATTTCTACCTTTTGTTTGTAATCATCTCCACATTTTCCTTTTTTTGTCTCTTAGCTTGAGAACCCATTTTCCCTGCATGTCTACCATCCATATAGACAGCCCTCAGGTGAAGACAACTGCAAAGATAAAGGCTGTGAATATATGTGTGTCCCAGTTCCAGAACCACATGCCACCATGTGTATCTGTCCAAATGGAAAGACACTTTCTCCTGATGGACACACTTGTATCATTGCTGGTGAGTTTCTTTGGATCATTCATTCTCCTCTTTCCTGATGAGAAAGCCCATACTTTTCTTTCTTACATTCACAATTAAATTTCTTATGTGCCTTTAAAAGTCATTATTCATGTATATAATCTTTTTCTGAATTGTCCAGACTCTCAAATCAGCAAAGATCACACTCATGAAGGGAATTGGAAAGAGGGCATCAAAAAAGGCAAATTCAAGTTTTGACAAATTATGAACTCACATTTCCAAAACATTCTTTTTCAGGTTAACTTGTGCATTTTTGGATATCTCAAAAATATTACAAGATAATTCTAGGCAACTTTGCCTCACAGTGAGGTCATCCAGAATTAAAGCTTGAGTATTACTTGCCTTTGAATGCTTGGTGCACAGAAGAGTATATATGTGTGTAAAGGACATTTTTTGGATGCAAAGAATGTGGCATATTTAGAATGCATTAAGAATATGAGCAATAAATGGAAGTACAATAGTTGGAAGAAAGAGAGATAATGTTACTAAGAGAGATGATTCCTCACAGTGCATAAGGGCGAGAAGAAACAGGGGAAATCTGGAGAACCCTTACCAGCTCATCCTCTTCCTTCTCCTGATTCCTCCAATAAGAATTCTGTCCTTGGAGGTATTGTACATATCTCTGTCTTTTTTCCTTGCAAGTTATGTTTTTATCTTCTGACCTTAACTGCATGAGCTTGGAATTCCTTAATGACTCTATCTCATGAATTGCTTTGCTCTTTGCTTCCTGTTTCTGCAAAAAACCTGTCTTTCTGACAAACCTTGTTTTGGTGCATGGAACAAACTCAAATGAGAATGACTAGATTCTTCTCATATTTGTAGTTGGCTGTATAAGTTGAAAAGTTGAAGTAACTTAGTCAAAAAGGAAAATCTTATGAAGGGATGTATTGTTTCTTACTTTGTAAAGGGTGTTTCACACTTTGCATGTCATGCATCCTTTGTGTCAATGCTTGGGCAGGTAGGCCTATACGTTATTGCACATGCATGTCCACTTACCTTCAAGGATTTTTGCAAAATGCAAGGCTTGCATTTTCAATTAAGCCAATCCAATTTCTGCACTGCAGTTTGCTTTCAAGATGGGGTGAAGCTTAGAACAGTGAGTTTTTGTACTGGAATGTTATGTGAAGATTGTTTAGTCAAAAGCAGTCCAACTGGGCAGCCTGTGTGCCGGATCCAACCCACCAAATTCATTTCCTACTGCCTGCGAATTCCTCTTTAACAGTTGATTTAGAAAAATTGCTGCAAATTTCTATTGTTTGAATTGAAAATGTGTATCTGGTGTGAGATTCATTAGTGAGGTCCCCAAACACACCTGAACCAAATCATTTGATCCCCACCAAATTGAGTTGGACACCCCTGGTCTAAAGTGTGTCAGGTGGAATTTGGCAAAAGGCTCAGAAGGGGAAAGTTCCCAGTAATGCTGGAATATGGAAAATTGTGCAGCAATTCAGGACAGTTAGTGTATCTAATCAAGAGCACATACATGCAACTGTTGTCACAGAAGAAGCAGTAGAGAAAGTGCAGGACATATTGCAATGCAACCCATCAAAATCTGTTGTGAACCCACTATTTAAATTGTGATTTTTCAACTGATCAGCAATTCCACAGATTTCCATGTTTCTCTTAGCTGGTTTGTGTGTAATGTACTTTTTTGGGGTTTACCAATGAAAATATCGCCTTGTAGTTTCAATTTCAAGTTGATCAAAACCTCAATGCAGAAGATTGAATCAAGTGGTCATTTTCTGATAATTTAATCCTTTCGACCAGTTCGCATACTGTATGAATAAGGATTTCCTCACTACAACCCTTGAAAAGTTAATTACATTTTCCTTATTGTCTTACATCACCTGTCAGATTAAACTCCTGATTGTAGAATATGTATGATTGACATCAACTCCTTGAAGTATCTGTTTACAGTGGCTCAGTGTTTAAAGTGGCTTCAGTGTGGTGTGTATAGCTAGGAGATATGGCACTGGTTTTTATTTTATTTTACAACTGAAGAGGATGTGAAGGTGAAGCAATTCCTGTTCAAAAGTATCTCGTAAGTTCCATATGCTCCAGTGTGATTTTTAATGTTTGAATCTGTTACAGGGACACACAGCATTGAGAGAGTGAACACCACCAAGGGGATTCTATTCCAAAACCGCCCTCCTATTGTGCCAAGGGGAGGGGACGAGGAAGAAACACAAGAAGATGACAAACCTGTTGATTCTAAAGGCATTGCTGACCCTTCCACTTCTTCACATGTTGTGCCCATGGTGATTGGGATTGTGGCTGGCTGTGCACTCATTAGTGCTTTGGTAAGTCTTCAGAAGTTCTCTTGTAAATGCTATCAATATCTGACATTTTAGAAGACATGTAACATATTTACTTCATATTTTTTAGATCATAATACCTGTAATTCTTTATTTTAGCTGTTAACACTTTCACTTCGAGATTTTTTCACTTTTAGGCCCAGTTAGCATAAGATCATTGATCATATGCTGCAAGAGAATCTGTTATCCCAATACAGTATTTGTTGTCATGGTGACAGTGGCCTCTCATGAATATCCTCTGCTTACAATACTTACAATTGCAAGGACAAGTGACCTTTTCAGTACTAGATGTTTATGAGTGAAATTGAAACCCATCATCCAGTGGTGTTTGTCTTGCCTTTTCACATATCCAAAGGTTTTTGACTATGTGGCACCTGTGCATACTTCAAAGTTATGGTACATGGTCTCCATTACCTCCCCATTATAGTTTTCTGACTGACTTCATTCTAGATGAGGACCTTGACACCTTTATAGATCCACTGTAGCTGTCTTCAAGGTAGCATCTTTTGCCAAAACCTCTTGTTATTTATTAGTGGCATTGCTTCCACATTGAACAAGGGCCATGTGCACATAGATGACACCACCCCAACTTGTAATCCAGCCTTGTAATACCTTCAGCGCTCATATCCACAACATTTCAAAGTCTGCTGTCCCTGCTGTAGGTTCTTGGTGCACAGACTTGAAAAATGCTGGGCAACCTCTGACTTCCAGGAAGAAAATTTGGATGCATAAGTTAAAAAACTTCTTTATTCAAGTTAGAGAAAAAGCCTAAATATGAAAAATTAAGACCTATAATTTTCCAATTTGGGTTGTTAGCACCTAGCAGGCTTCACTGTGTGCATCCCTAATATAGTTACGCTCCATAAGGTGCTTCTTCCTTTCACAGCAGTTACTCGGCTCTACAAAAGAACAGTCCACTGGACCATCAAGTTTGCATCTCCCCTTTGGAGAAGTACTTCTGATTGATCTCTCCCTCTCAGTAGAATTCATATAAATTTTGAGAAAAATTGGCATTAGAAAACACAATAATTTTGGCACTCATCCTCTCCCAATTTCACTATTTTGTGCTCTGCCTTATTTGCTTTCTATCATCTTTTCTTATCACCTCCAACATTGATCTTTCCTTTCTTATACTCCTCCTACTCTGAAAACTTTTTCATTAAGGCCTTTACCAATCAGCACAACTCCATTCTGTGAGGTTTGGGCAATCTGAAGTATTAGGTTTGCCTTCCTTCCTGGGAAAAGATCTTTGTGAGACTGACTTCCACTTGTGTTCCATTTTCAAAATATCAAAAAGGAACACTTTTCTTCACTCTGAGGCAATCAGGAAATACCAACCCAGTCCTGATGCCATGTTTTTGGTACAACATATACTTCATTACAAGTGCTCCAAGATTGAATATATAGCTGTTGTTGGCCTATTCATAAAATGACTGAAACCTGCATCAGTGATCATACTCATTGACTGAAGGGTTTAGCAGCTGCATTACATACATATCACTGTCTGGAATGATATCCTCTGCAGGCTGCCTACCTCATCCATCAGAAGTTTGTGAAGCCAAATGGGAGGCAGATGAACTTTGACAATCCTGTGTACAAGAAGACAATCACTGAGGACCACTTATCCATCAGTCGCAATGGGTTCCATCAACCTCGACCCCACAGTAATGGAAGGACATACCCTGGAATGCACAGAGAGGATGTAAGTTCTCAGGAATTCCTCCTTCTTTCCCCCCCCCCCCCCCCCCATACTTAATGCATGCAATTCTTATGAATGCAGAATTTATAAATTTGTATGTTAGTTAACAGCAATTCAAAAGAACCTTATCACCCAGAGTTAGCCCTCTGTGAAAATTTGTGTATCTAATTATCTGGCAAGAATAGTCTGAACACTTAGTTTACACTTCATACATGTTCACCTTTTTTTTCCCTTAGACAATGGAGCCATTGACACCATCAGGAACAAATGAGTTTGTTTAACGTCAGTGGCTCTAGGTGAGCTTGGGACAGTTGAAAAGAACCCAAGAAGAAGATTTTAAAATAGGAAAAGAAAGGAAGGAATGTGATAGCCTCCCCCCGACGACCGGTGAGCTCTCCCATCTCAGGGTTATCCTGCCGAAATCCATCGGCAATTATGTGCAATAGGTGTGAGTGTCCCCTTCTATTTGTGTGTACCAGACATTGAGTGTTTGGATTTTGCATGTATGTATGTGTGTGTGGATGTCTTTTTTTTTTTGCCTTTGTGTGCCACAGTGCAAACTCTTGGTGAACCTAGTCCTTGATTTTACTTTCAAGAAATGTGAGTGAATGGACCTGTCTGTATAGAAGACATGTGGATGAAATTCAGAGTGCTCTGTCTTTATGAAGGCTTCCGCTCAAAGAAAGGATCCAGATTTTTACAAATATGAACCCTGTAATGGTTTTTCTATCTCTCTTACCCTCTTTTTTCTGATTAACTGTGAGTTTATGCTTTTGTTATGCTCAGAACATCATTGGGACATGAAGTCTCTTCCTATAATTTATTATGAAAGTGATGGTCATTCTTATCACTTAAGCTGCTTTGATTATGGTAAAAGTGGATGTGAAATTATTTTTAGTGCCAACTCTTTTTTAGGAATTCTCAATTGAGATTATATATGAGTGATTTTAAATTGCCCATCTAGAAACAACTGCCTTGCATTCTAGAGCTAGAGTCTGTATTTCTTTAGCTTCTAGTACGTTTTGTGAAAATAATCTCCCTGTGAAATATGTTGCTCAAGTGATTTTTTTTTAAGTCTTACCTCTTCAGAATGTCTTGCAATCTCATGAGATTCTTGGATTGTAAGTATTTTGCTTGTTATTCAGTGATACTAGAAAATCAGCGCTGTTGGGGGAAGAGTTGATGTGGAATGAAGTGCGCATCAGCACAATCATTACTCATTCACTCATTTAGGAATCTCCTGAGTTCTCACTAGTTTTTCTCATGTTGGTCATTTGCTAACAAATGATGAAATCTACATCTTTATATTGTGGCGATACCCAAAGATATTCTGATAACTGTGGGCAATCATTGAAGTCACTTGATTGTTGATCTGTGATGAAGCCAAGTTTGCTGTAATTAATTTGTTGGCTTTTGAAATATATGTTGATTTTTTTCTCTAGGGGTACCGTGCCAAATATTTGAGTGTCATATCAGCTGAAAAGGTCCCTTGTAAAGAATGCACTCTGTCTTAAATAAAACTTGCCAAATATTGTGTTTCATTGTTGTGTTTGAAGCAGGTTGAGAAGGATCTAAATTGTGGCGTTTGTTCTAAGTTGTGCCTTAGGAAAAGACTTAGCATTCCCTAGGGGACTGCATTCAAGTTCACAAATTGTACTACTGTCATATTTTGTTTGGCTTAGACTTGGCTGGCCTGTACATTTTTTCTTACCACGATAATGAAGAATGGGAAACTGACCTTTGTCATAGGCTGAGAATTGCCACATGAGTTTTGTTTTTATTACTTTGAAGACCATTATTTCTGATGACATTCATGGTGTGTCATGGACAGAAAGGTTCTGGTCATTCCAAGCTGTCAAGTTTTGCGAAGAGTATGAGCTGTGTTTCTGTTACCTATGGGAAGTACTTAAATGCATTAGCGAATACTACTAAATGCAATTCTAATTACGGCTGCCAAATTACATTAGATGAATCGACTGGCTAATCGGATACGAATAGGTACCCAAATCCGAGTTCCCCTGGATCCTGCCTACAGTATGTTAGAGGATGCAGTATTTATCAGCGATGCTAGAGAACAAACTGAAAATCGATTTTAGGGGAACAGCTGTTGCAGAGATATTGGCAGCGATCTCGTAGTGTTATTCTCATAACGTGATGGCGGCCTTGATGTCTGCCAGGTCATAGTGCGACCGATGTTTCCGGGCGTGATTCGAAATTTCGAATACGAAAGGACGGAACCATAGCAATGTCGAACGGAAAGAAGATAGGTTTCTTACGATGTCGGTGTCGGATCGACGGGAGCCGGAATTGCAGCAACAAAATCGGCGAAGCTAGAACTAGAATAGCTGAATCTCGTAGAATATCGAAAGGTGAGTTTTCACCTGGGCTGGGATGGTGAAAAGGACAAAAGGACACGGCTTGGTTGAATGATGTACTCGTCGAAGTTCGCGACGTCAGGACCGGTCGAATGCTTAGCATTTTACGGAGTCGATTATACGACTTTGAATTGATACGCCCGCTACCACCTTCTGTCGAGTCTGTTTCACCCTTACGACGGTTTCCCATCGTTAAACCTTGTCTAGCGGCTCGGCCATTTCCTTGTCGATCGTTTTACGATTAGAAGGGACGGTGTAATCCACGATCCAAGCACTGCATGGACTTCCGTGCAAGTGTAGTGCTCCACGTTTGCATACTTCTTTTGTGCTTCTTTGAAGCATTGGTTCTCGATTCTACCGTCAACTGGAAATTGACGTTCGTGGATCCACGGAACGCCAAGAAAATGCTTCTCCTTCGCGAGGATCTCTGCGAGAAGGCATTCAGAGAGAGGAATCGTACTGGAGAAGTAGAGACAGGAAACTAGGAATCCGACGAAAGAAAAGGAAGAAATCCGCGACGAAGAGATTCCGTGTGTCGTCCTCGATCGTAAAAACGGAAAAAGAAAATTGGAATGTCCGACGGCATTTTTGTCGAATTTTGTTATTGTTTTCATGCCGATTGTTCTCCTGAGACCTATGTTGCTCCAAAAAATCGATTAACTCTCTGTACTCCCCAAATTGAGTTTTAAGAAAGTACCTTTCGAACGATCACGTTTTCGCCTTCTTCCTCTTCGACTTTATTGGATGATATTGTATCGATCCTATTTTTGCCTTCGATGAATTTTTTCTTCCTCGACATTTCTTCTTTCGGCTTTCAGGAGCACGTCTCCTTCGGATACGAAAAGTGTATCGTATATTAAAATTCGATAAATCGATGGAGCAGTCCGCTTTTAACCGCGTTAAAACGATGAATCGAACGGCGGCCCTAACCCGGACGCCGCACGAGTACGAGGAATCGTCCGGTCCCCGGAGCGGGTCGCGATGGTCCTGGCGAAGGCTATCGTCGTCTGACCTCTCTTCTCGCTCGAGGGAAGGCGCAGACGCCTGGACGGCATTTCAGCATTCCTCTCCGTTTTCTCTACGGCTTCTAATTTAGTGTGCCCCTCGTCGTTTCAACGTCCCGTCGTTTCGATATCGTATGCATTTTTTTCCCGGCATCCTCATCCCGAGCCGACTCGCGAGATCTACTGCATCCACCCGTCGGCTGTGTTCGACGACTACGAAGGCGGTTCAGTGGGCTTCCTCTTCCGCTCTCGATGGCAACTCGCGAACGTTCGCTGAAACTCCCTGCATTCGCGCTCGTCGGCATAAAACGCGAACGTTCGCCATCTTGAAGCGTGCATGCTGCAGGACGCAGTGAGAACTGCTGGACGATGGTCGTCGACGATTTCTCTTTCTCGGACGTCCATCGTCGACCTTCGTCCTACTTCTTTCGATCTCTCGTCCATCGAGTCGACATCGGGGGAAGACGAAGCGGATTCGTTAAGCAGTGCGAGGCCGACCCCGGCGGATCGGACGGCGAGATGCTTCGCGAACGGGACCCTCCGACTTCGGTCGCGATGCCGAATCGGATGTTCCCCGTTTTTCCAGCCGACGGATCTGCCGAACCCGTACTCGGCTCGGACGCCGAGGATCGAGCCCGCTAGGAGGCAGAAACCGGACGGCAAGGGCGGCAGGTCTCTGCTTCACCGAGTAGAGCACGCAAAATACGTCTCGTCCTCGGAGGAATGAGGGCGAATGAGCCATTTTTGGATGAGATCGGATGCCGTCTCGGTGGACGTTCCGCCTCGCTCGGTGCATCCACCTCACCGTGTGGTTCCTCTCGTTTCGCCACGACGCGTGAACGCCCGTCGCTTCTTCCCCCGAGGAGGAAACGAAGAACGAGTTCCTGCACTTTCCGTAGCGAGCGCCCGATTGCGATTTCAGCGAATGCGGGACGTTCCAACTCGTCTCGCGGCCGATGCCGTTCGAGACGTGGGAACCTCCTCTTTCCTCCTCGATGCGGTCATCTTCTCGACCCGATCTCTTTCGCGTTCTCGCTTCCACGAAGGTGTTGCGCGCGAGCGCCCCGAAGGCACACGCCGGGAGTCGCGAGACGATTCGAATTCTCGGGCACGATCAGAAGATGCATCTTTACGAAACCAGACGTCGAGCCCGGTTCTGGCCGTTTCTTTCCGAGCTCTCGCGACGGTCGTCGATGTTCCTCTGGCTCTCCGCGACGTTCGTGTCGCCATACCGGTTTCCTTCGGAACGAGCGAATGCTCTCGGACCCCATCGAGAGGCTTTCAACCGCTCGACGTCATCGTGAAGAACTCGGAATGAACCATCCCTCAGCCTGCCGTGAGGTGGGTCGGCCGTGCTCTGTTGCGAGCGGCTGCAAATTTCGTTCGACCACCTCCTAGCCGGTGACGGATAGAAAGGATGTCCGCGTTCGGGAAGTACACTCCGGCCACCGACTAGGGGGGGGGGGGGGGGAAGAGGTTCAAAGGTTTTCCTGAATGCCCTCTGAGGCAGAGTATTAGTTCCATCCCGGGCGGAACTAATGTCCGTGGAAAACATGTCCACGGTATTCAGGAGTCCTTCTAGCTGTCGGTATCCTGAGGCAAACAGTTTGAGTTCATCCATATACGAGCTATATTAATAGAAGATGGTTAACAAAGTGGTTCTCTGTCTTCCCCTTTCCGACATGGTACCCATCTCCACTGGAGTTGAGCAGCTCACTCAGTGGGTTGATGGCTAGACAGAAGAGAAGAGTAAGGGCGAAAGGGAGTCGCCTTGAAAAATTCCACAGCGGATGTTGATCTCCCTCGTGACGACTTTGTCTCTTGCCCCTTGAAGAGTCATTGTGGTCCTCCATGTTGGCATAATATGAGTGAGAAAGTGTACTACTCTCGGGCTGACCCTGTATAACTTCAAGCACTCGAGGATCCACGAGTGTGGGATGCTGTCGAAAACCTTTTGATAATCTATCCAAGCAACCGAAAGGTTCTTTTTTCTCGATCTGGCATCGTCGAGGATCATCTGGTTGACTAGTAGCTGCTCCTTGCAACCATATGAGCCTCTTGTGCAACCTTTCTGCTCCTCGGCCATGATGTTGTTCCCTGTCAGGTGCC